CCCCAAAACCCCAAAACCCCAAAACCCCATTGACTAAACCCAAAATTGAGAGTCAAATCTCTGAGTCGAGTAATGAAGGTTTATATAAAGTTATGAATTAGGGGCTCCTCGATTGGGAACCTCTTGTGGGGATTTTTATGTGCTGTTCTAGACACAGGATCCCCTCAGAATGACTAAGGAGCTACATAGCTCCCCAGACATTGAGAAGATACCTTCTTTGGCACCCTGATGTTTACTGTGCTATTTGACACATCTGTGTTCTTGCAGGAGGTGTTTAATTTCTGGCCATTCTTGGTCTTCACATTCAAATTCCTCTTTTGAGGCGTTCTGAATAAACACTTCTGGGCTCCCTTGAGAGGAATCCTGAATCTTTTTGGACCTAAACTATCAGATATTCAGGCTCACATCTTGACTTAGCACACCTAATCTTGTTGGCAGCAGACATCTTGAGCTTGCAGGTAATTGATGGGTGCTTAATGGATGACTGACCAGATTTTTGATTATGATATTTTGAGGAATCTTGGAAATCGACCTGATAAGAGTTTATACCACAAACCCTACCTTGGATAAGTTCATATAGTTATGCATCTTAGACATCACTGCCTAGAGAGAAGTTAGCCTCGGGAAACCACTGATAGCTTACCTTATGAAAGTTTATAATGTTACTGTTGGTTGGAAACTCATCATAAACAGCTGTCATCATCTTGCTGCTTGTATATGATTGCATAGAGGACTCAGAGACTTGTACGGAAACATTATTGCTGCCTTGGAACCTTGGCAAGAATCCTTCTATATCCAGTCGGTTAGTCACATGAATCTTTCACCTCAGAAAATGAAGGTCCGATGTTAAGTTCTGATAATATCCGGAGAAACTTACGAAGTGTTTTCTGATTTTTCAATTTATTAATATTTGATCTGAAATTGTAGCTACTTCTGAGACGTCTGATTCTCCTAAATTTTTGTGTAAAAATACGAATGATGGGAGTCACCAGAATAGGACTTCATAAGCAAACTAGCTTACCTCTTGCTGCTTCTACTCTTAGGCTTTTTCTCTGAGTTTTCAATATGAATGCTCCGATTTGCCTTATTCGCGATCACAATAGTTTTGATAGCAGTGGGGATAAATTTTTCAGCATCAATAGTACTGGAAATTTCTGAGGAGTCTTCTAGCAATTTTTCATCAGATTCGTAGTCAGTGATAACCTTGTCAAAGCTAGATCCTTGTGTCTCCTCATCTACTCTATCACTTGTGGTAAAGTATGCTAGTTTAGACCTTTTCTGCCTAGCTCTGAAGCCATTGATGGAGATTGCTCTTCTTTGGAGCAATTTTCTGGTAGATTTATTATTCACCATTCGAATTAATAGTATTTGTAGAGGTAATCCAATTTGTTCTTATGTGGGTTTTGGGGTTTTGGGGTTTTGGGGTTTTGGGGTTTTGGGG